GGGAGGGGAGGGAGGCGTAAGCCGGAACTATGAGCGAGCGAGAGGGTGGTTTGGTCTTGGTCTCCTCTACGGATGCCCTGGCGGTGCCCTGCCGGCCCTACACGGCCGCCCTGGCCACGGCGGCGGGCCGCGCGGGCGGTGCGGCGCGAGCGAGAGGGGCGCGGCCCCGGGGTCGAGAAGGAGAGAGACATGGCGCTTCAGGAACCCCTGTCCGTGCGCCTCTGTCACACTCGCCAGGGCTGCCTGCGGCCGCCAACAATGCAGCTTAGCAGTCGACGCTTTGGGGTGCAGCGCGACGCCGGCACCGCGCGCACCGCGGCGTGAGGTGAGGAGGGCCTCGGCGGCCTCGGCGGCGCGCTGCCGCAGCCATGGACACCATCCTGGACGTGTTCTTCGAGAAGGTGTTCTCGCAGCTGCCGCGGGGCGCGCTCGTGTCGCGGTACAAGCGCGCCGAGCTGTCGGACTACTTCGGCACGGTCATCGTCGGGTGCGTGGGCGCCGAGCACGTGAGTGATGCCACACGCCACACCAACTGAATTTGGACGAACTTATTGAATCCAACGTTTCGGACGAACTTCTTCGTCATTGATTTGAACACGTTTCGCGTGCATTCATGTGAACGGAATCATGCATTTTTGCAAACAAATTTGTTGAAAACGAAACGTAGGTGTATCTTTGAAGAAACGTTTGCAAAAATATACAAATACTGACTGTTGTTGAGTGTGTTGGACGGGGCCGCGATGTGCAGGTGACGGCGCAGGAGGCGGTGGCGAGCGCCGTATGCGCGGCGCTACGCTACCACGCGGCCACCCGGGACGCCAACGGCGGCGTCTGCCTCAAGGGCAAGTTCCACGACATCCTGTACGTGGCGGCCAAGCTGGCGTACGACTGGGAGCTGCGCGACGGACACACGGTGGCGCGGCTGCTGCGGGACCTGCACGCCTGCGAGGACACCTTCGAGCGGCTCGTGGTGGGCGCCATCGTGGGCACCAGGGTGAGAGCGCCACCGGCCCGCGCCAGCCCGCGCCAGCCAGCAATGTGGAAACAGTCTGGCGAACTGGGATATAATTTCCAATTAAATTGCCGTTTCGCCTTGGCAGATATTAATAAGCGAAACCATTCTTAATAACAGACACGGAAATATGCAGGCCACGGTTCACCTCGGAGCAAGAGCAGCGCACTGGAAAAACAAAGGCGATGAAGTCCTCCCTTTAAAAGGCACTAAAGGTTTAGTTAGTGCCCTTACCAAGGGGGCCTCAGCTCCCTTGTAGAGTGTACGTCAGATTGCCAAGATTGTCAGATTGCTAGACGAATATTTTGCTTTTCGGACATAAAATGCCTGTAACTTGGCAAAACGTACTACTTGCAGCCTGAATCTAGGCAAAAGCATATGTGTCTTGGGCGAGGTCTTGGGTCAGATTGCCTTATTGCCTAGAGATTGCCGAAGAATATCGTAGATTTCCAGGGTGAGTTTACACCAGATTGCTGGCTGGCCCCCTCGGCCTTTACAAAAGCACTACTAAAACTCCAAAAACAGAAAGTTCTAGCGTTTGTAGGGCTCAGTCGGTGCCTTACGAGACTCTCTGTACCTTTCTTTAGCACCCCTGGAAGACAAGACTTAGCACCTTAGTTTTTCCAGGGAGACTGTCCTATTGGAGGGACCGCCGGCCACTTCTAGACCACCGTCTCTTTCGAACCCAGTTAAAAGTTTGCGGTTTCTGCAGGTCTCACACCTACTGTCTGGCTGGAAGAGCGAGTTTGCGGACCGAGAAGAGAACCTTCAGGCGGTCGAGTTCTTCCTGGTGCACGCCGACGAGCAGCGGCTGGTGTTCGGCGACGACCCCCGCGGCGCACCGGCCCCGGGCCCCCCCGGTGCGCAGGGAAGGAGGTTCGCCGACGTGCACATGAGGGCGTG